TAAAAAGTCTTAGTGCTGACTCCATGGATTTCCCTAAAGCCCTGAGCTGCTGGTACCCCAAGATATATGACCTGTAAATCTTCACTGGAAATAGATGAGATACTTAGACTTTATATAGCCATACATAGAATAAGATGTCGAAGACATAATTACAAATAGTTCATTAGTATCAAATTACTTACAGGGAAATTTGTATCAATCTATAACAATACTGAATATTACTTCAGAGGATTATTTTCTAAAGTAAAATTTTCCTTAACAAATTAGATAAGAACCAAAACATGAAAATTACCTCAGTTTGTCAAGAAACCACAAAACTGCTGTTTTTAAGTAGGAAGTACTATTAGACAATGGAAAAGAAAACAAATAATTACAGGTATATAGAGTCCATTATAGAGGTTACAGCTTAAAATTTAAAACTAGTAATTATAACTCAACAGAGTTTTATCAGAGAGGTCACATTAGATAACTGTAAATTAATAGGATGGCATCTCAACCATTCTTAGATTTATAAATGTGTATCTAAGTGTGATCCTTGGAACGTTTAAGAAAACCAAGTATTACTGTATCAAATAAACTTGGATGATGCTATACACCATGTTTACCTTCATCATACTTCACAATGCTATATCGTAAATAAGCTAACTAACCAGAAATCTATCCTATTCAAATTTACTAGACTTGAGAACACTTCCCTTACTATGTAATTAGTAATGTTCTGTACGTCCTGGGGTTATCTATCCTTAGGAGTGAAGGTTTGAGTTATTTTCACCACTGTTCCTATGCTATGAAGTGGATAATAGCCATTTTTATACTATAAATAAAAAGCTCAGTCAAATCTCTAACATTAAGTGAGCTCGCTCTTAAAAATTTTCCTTTAATGGTAGAACTTAAACATTTCCTGATTCAACAGCAAAAAGAATATGTAGTTTTAACAATAAAGTATGTCAAACAAAATATTTTTATAATAGGTTTTATTCAAGATCCATTTTAGTAAAATGCATTAAAGTGTATGTAATTTTGCATTTCTGTATAAATATAAAAGAAATATGTTTATATATCTGAAGCATACTCTCAAAATCTGACTAGATGATGTTAGACTATTTAAAGCATACAGAGATTAAAAACAAGTCTATATTTACTATGTGTACTACCTGTTTCAGACTCTAAATTTAATGATAACTATGTCCAGAAAATAATCTAAAACAAGAAGGATCCCAAGAAATACTGGATGGTAGCTAGAACTACTTCATCACAACACTCCTAGAAGGGCAGAATTGACACAGCGAGCTGGTACATGCAGGAAGTACAACTTCATGTACACAGAGTACTCAGCACATTCCTCTACTAGAATGTGGTCACCACCACAAAGTCCACAAGCTCATGCACAAGATCAAGACACTACATACAGCTGAGATCACAGGGGCATGCAGATAACAACAGCGTGCTAGATCATCGTACCAAAAGTGTGCAGATGTTCTCCCCCACCCCATGAGCCACTGCCAGCAGTTGCTATGGAGTTTGGTTACCCATATCCATGACATGAACGGTGTCCTTTGGAGAATCTTGTTCCCTGTGGCTGTAAGTATTCTTATATTTATATTTTAATGATGTTTGCTATGAACGATCTTAAGTACAAAACTAGAAATCATGGAAAAGTACACCTTTTTTTAATAATAGTCAACAATTATATGCACCTTATCTCAAGCAGCTATGATAAACACCATTTATATTTGAACATATCATCAACAATAATTTATCGTTCACTTAGATGAACCCAGAAAAATATGTCTGATGACAGTGCTCCAGTGAGTGGGGGAAAAATAAATCTCCAAAAAGTACTTTGACTCTAGCATTCAAAAATCTGTGTAAGAACCACCCCATGACCTGGCTAATTTCACTCATATTGCCAAGTTCTACATGAGAATATCTTCCTGATAACTTTCTTTTATGTGACTTTTATTATACAGGCTTTACTTTGTAAACAACAAACAAATTTATAATGAAAATTAGAATACAGTCATTAAAAGGTTTTCCCCCATTTTTCTGAACACATTAAATGATTTTCAGTATTTAAATGCCTTTTGGGGAGTGGCCTATTTGTCATGTAAGTGTATTCTGGTAAAGACAGAATTTTATTTTCCTATAGGTAATACCTATTAAAGTATTACTGATATTCACGCATCAGAGATGCAGAGTCTGGAGCCACAGACATCTGGAGTGGCTCAGCTCTGTGCTGTTTGGCAGCACTATACAGACCTTTCAGAATAATGAATTAAATTATTCAAGGACACTCTATGGTATTCTAAACCAGGCCCATGAGTAAAAAAAAAAAAAAAAAAGAAAGAAATACAGCCAACTCTCAATAACAATGGAAGGTAGGATGGAAAAGCAAACTGACAATCTAAAAATCTTATTTTGATCAAATACTTAAAAAATTCAAATCATCACCACATTAAAAAGGGACTTGAATACTACCTTTTTTCTTACTTCCCTCAAAACACTCTTAAAGTTATTAACAAGAACTCTATGGTATAATGCACACAGTTGCAAACATAGAAACATATTTTTGTGTCTAACTTTTCCCAATTTAGACACTTAAAACTATCAAGCCCATTTCCTGATATGACTTACCATGGTCAGTACCAGCAATGACATCTCTCTTTCTCTGACTGCACTACTTGGCACTTTCTAAGTTATACTTTACTTACAATGGATCATTTGCAAGTCATATGATTAAAGATGATAATTTGATTCAACATTAGTATAATTTATGACAGAAGCCAGTGAGACTTCATAAACTGAGTATAATAAGATGGGGGCTTACAAAAGCGGTCTCTCCTGATTCTCACACATTCTGGAGCAAAACACTACCTACCCTAGCTGTCCTCAGTCTTCTCTGGCAACCACCACGCAATTGCCAAGCAAACCAAAGCAAAACATCAGAAAGCTCACCATATGTGCTGTTTAATCAGCAACCAGTAACAGCCTAATTACAATTAAAACACAAAGGCTCTGAAGCTATTCCAGTCTCTGAGTAACTATAGTGAGATCACTGTACAACACACGTTTGCCACAGAACAAGATCTGAAGGGTGACATGCTCATATTGCTATCTGTTTACACAGAAGATGTTATGAAAAGAAATTATACTCTGTAGCAAAAGACACTGGGAAATTATAATAAAGGGATAAGTGATAAACTCTAATTTGTGATAATTCCTTATTGTTTATTAACGTTTACAAGTGGCTTTTTACATTATAATGGCTTTAAATATATAGTTTGAATGCTAGCTTTTAATAAATTATTCCATTTTAATTAAGAATATCATGAGTTTTTTGGGCATGGTAGCACATTGTTTAAGGTCCCAGCCCTCAAGAAGCTGAACCAGGAGGATCAGAAGTTCAAGGCCAGTCTGAGTAACTTAGTAAATTCAAGACAGGCCTGGGTAAAAAAAAAAAAAAAAAANCAAAAAGCCCAAACCACAACAGTAACAAGAAAAAAAAAAACATTAGAATTTTACCTACTTCCTTAAAACATTGATAAGAAAAAAGAAAGATAACAGACATCTGGTTGTCAATATTACAGCATATAATTTGCTATACTTGTAAGAATAAGACTAAATGATTAAGTGTATGTTTAACAATGACATTCAGGTTTATAAGTGTACAAGAAAAATTTAACAAAGAAACTATAAATAGTAAGTGAAAATCAATTTATTTAAAATATACTGTCACTGGGTTATTTCATTCATAGTTATAAAGGTAATACTTAAATTTAAGCTTAAAATTAAAAGCTGGCAAAATATTTTCCTAGTTTCAACAAAATTGAGATAATTTTAAAAACTCCTTGGATGCATGACTTGCAATCCTTTTCCTCCCCGATTAAAAATGTATTTATTTATGCATTTTATGTATATTGGTGCTATACTAGCATGTATGCCCGCATAGAAGAAAAGGACATCAGATTCCATTACAGATGGTTGTAAGCCACCAAGTGGCTCCTGGGACTTGAACTCAGGACCTCTGAAAGAGCAGTCAAAGTGTTTTTCTTAACTGTTGAGCCATATCTCTAGCCCCCAACTTAAACGACTTTTAGTAACTTTATAACAAGTGAAATCACCTTAAAATAACTATTAAGATAGTTCTGGTTAATGTTCCCATAGAAAACAATGCACCCAGAAGCAGTAACTTCCAAGGTCATTTCATTTCTATTTGGAGGCATGAGTCCAGTAGATGTGTAAGCATTTCTGAAATTTTTAATTTTTAAAAATACATTAAAATAAGAATAGGAAAAGGTGAGGGAATTTTTTCTTTTCACATTTTCATTGTTACATATTATGAAAGAAGTAAACATCATTTTAAAACAGAATCAAGAGGAGGTTCTAGATAAAGTGAAATTATGCTTTCTAATTAAAAAAATTATTATGTTTGTACATGTGTATGTGCTGGTTCCGTGATACAAGTGTGTAAGTTAGAAGGCAACTATGGAGTCTGTTTTCTCCCTTTACCTTTGTAAGAGTTTTAGGGATTGAACTCAAGCCACCAGACATGCATGGCAAGCTCCTTTACCTGCTGAGCCATCTTGCCAGCTAAAGTCATCAATATTCAACATCTTGATACAGTACACTAGAATAATATTTTCTGTGATTATCTTTAACAAAGTACATTACTACTAACTAGAATAGATGGAAAGATATTACATGTATGTTCTTATTAACAATGTTTTGTACTTCCTGGTAATATGTACCTCAGACCGGTAGAGTACTGTATATACCTCAAGATGTTGTTATACAATGTTAGCAAGTGGAAAGATTAGAATATGATCAGGGAAGGCAAATAAAATGCATTATGACATATAACAGTAACAATACTTGTTTTTTCAGAGATTGGAAAGGCATGTTCAATTACTTTTAATTTCACCTGCAAGTTTATAATATTAGAAGATTGCAGCAAAATCAGAAAAGTCAGCCTGAAGCAAACAATCCTGTTCTCTCCTTACCTCCTCTGGGTTGGCATTGAAGGTGAGGCTCCCTTCATCCAGCTGCAGGTACAATTTCCTAAAAGAGAATCCTAAAGGTGGGCTCTTATTGTATATAGAACAGTGACCCCAAGTGGATTTACACAACCTAAAAAATAGAAAATAAAACCAAAATTACAACATTTCCTAAGATAAACACATTCACATGATAAATTCTAAAATTAGATGACACCGAATTAGACTCTGCAGCTAGTCAGAACACCATCTAAGAATGGAGTCATGCAAAGAGAATTCTCAGTGCTCATGAAAAAAAAAAAAACCCAAGAAAACAAGTCTTGTGACCTCAATTTCTTCAAAAACATAAACTTGTTCTTCAAATGTGCTCTCATGTTCCTCCCAGGGGTTATGGATAGGAGAGAGTTTACTTCAGATATCCATTACAAGTGGCTATTGCTGTTTGTTATATGCCTCCAAGGAAACCATATTTTGCCACATAAGGCCTGTCCTTGTGACTGAACACCTTACTCATGGGATTCTTCTTAATCCTCAGAGTGCAAGCTGTCTGATGCTCTGAATAAAGTTGGCTATACAGGAGAGTTTAGTCCGCCTCATTTTAGGGTCCTTTCTCCCAGGTCCCACTGCATTAAGAGCAGTAAATATGTGATTATAAACTTTTATTTTACATTTTTTACTTCTGCTTTACTAGAATATTACAAGTGCCATACAATTAGCAATTTCGGTTGCTTCTAAGAATTTCAGTTACAATGATTAATCATATTCATGAATACTATTTGAAGTTAAACACAAGCAATTAAAAATAACCAGTGATAGACGACAATCACTTAGAGATTACTGAAATGACAGTCACTACTTTCAGAGTTTTAGTTGTATTGGCTTGCTCAATCCTATCAACAATTCTCTGACATTGGTTGTAGTCAAAATTTCCTTTGTGAGACTGCCAGCCCACAAATAATGAGACCAAAACTTATTATTAATTATGAAAGCTTGGCCTTTAGTTTAGACTTGTTCCCAACTAGCTTTTATAATTCAAATTAACATGCTTTTATTAATCTACGTTCTGTCTTGTAGCTTTTACCTTCCTCCCACCCTTTTTGTTTTGTTTTTCAAGACAGGATTTCTCTGTTGCTTTGGGGCCTGTCCTGGAACTAGCTCTTGTAGACCACACTGGTCTCGAACTCACAGAAATCCACCTGCTTCTGCCTCCCAGATGCTGGGATTAAAGGTGTGTGCCACCACTGCACAAAGTCTCTCTCTCCCATTCTGTACATCTGACTTGTTCCACATCTTGGTGGCATCTTTCGGCCTCTCTTCTTCCCAGAGTTCCTCTTTCCCCCTGGAAATCCCATCTATTCTTTCCTGCCTAGCTATTGGCCATTCATCTCTTTAGTAAACCAATCAGAAGGTGTCTTAGGCAGAGACACCTCTTCACACAGTGTAAACAAATATTCTGTAGTAGTTAGTACACAATACAAGAAACAGAAAAAAAAAATTCCCAAAAGAAATCCAGCTAACATGTATGTAGCAACATTTAGTCTTATTCAAAACTCACAATGCTAAGAAGTTAGTCAGACTCTATTAAATAACCTACGCCAACTGTGATGTAATACTAATGTTGCACAAGGAGAATTCACTTGCTTTTTCAAAAAAGCTTATATTAACAAATTAGCAAAGAATAATTCTACAACTGTGCACATCAAGTACTGTGATGATGACCATGCTTAAGATATTGTTTCAGATCCATGATTCTTCACTACCATGAAGACATCAGCTGTTAAAATTTCTATTCAACGTTGAATAAGAACTGTACTTCATACTGCTCCATTTTTTCTAGATTAGGACTGTGCTTTCCAATCTATAAAGAGGCACTAGTTAGTATCTGAAAGCTAAAGCATTTAGTGTAATGCCTCAGAGTCCTGGAAATATATCAGGGGACTAAGTATATCACTATCAAGACAAAGAAAATACTGAAACTATATCTTATTATATTTTAAATGTCTTTACAACCCTGATTATAAAGAGATTCAGAACTGATTCCACTAAGTTTAGAATTGAATATCCTTTTATGCACAAATAGAGACTCAGTTGGGTGTGGCAGTGCACACCTATAATCCTAGCAAGGGGAGGCCAAGGCATGAGGAGCTGCGGCCAGTTTGGGCTACAAAAAAAAAACAAACAAACAAACAATAAAGTAAAACAAATTTAAAATAAAAGCTCGCAAGTTAAGTTTGTGGAAAATGCTAAGATGTAGGAAAAAAAGGATGACAAAGAATAAGCCAGTTTTAAAGTATTATTCTAATCCCCTTTTATAATGATCAAAGCATTAAAGACTCACTTATTTTAAATAATACTGCACAAATTTGTGCTAACTCAGTATGACAACACAGCAAATGTTAAAACAAGTTATCTTATGTATTTTAAAATACTTTTATACTACAATTCTGAGACCTTAGGAAGCTTACGTCAGAAATGCTGCTCCTAGAAATATTCCTCCCCTGGAATCTGGCAATTTCAATTAATTTATCAAGTCTCTCAATTAACTTTCCAATCTAGGTATGCTATCATTATTGATAAGTTCTTAATCATTATAAAAGCTACTTTAAAACAATGAGTCTTAAACTCTGGGAAGAATACTAGGAAATCTGAAATCCAATGATTCTTCTGATTGATAGCATTTTCAAGACTTAAAAGAAGAAACCACGTTCCTATGAGCTTTCATTAGAGTGGGAAGCTATTTAGGAACAAATGACATTTTTTGAAAAAAAAAATATAGATTCCATTCTACAAAAGCTTGTGTGCAACAGCTATTAAAATGTTCATGTAACCAACTGTCTGTCATGGTTTCTAATGTTTACCTGCCTCAGTGATAAAAATGAGTTTTAGAAAAAAATATAGGTGAAGTTGTCACAATTTAAATGTTGATGACAGCAAATGCTGTTAAACAGAAACACGAAAACGCACCTGCTCACTTTGAAATTAAGGAAAACACTGTTTTTACTGATGTTTAAGTATGCCTGTTCTTCAAATGGTACTCCTCTAGGAAATAAAACTGTACCAAGGTATAAAGACTACACACGTTGAATTATAACTTCTTATGCAGCATGGGTGTGCTTCTCAAATGCTGCTGTGTACTAAACAGAGTTTTGATGTAACTTCCTTCTCTCTGTGCAGTCATCGTCCCATTGTCTTCTCCACTGTCTTTCTGGCAATATCAGCACTGACTGAGAAGATAACTAAGAAGATAATTGTTCTAGGATCTAGTAAAATAAATAAGCTCATATTAAAAGAAATTACTTTACAACACATGCTAAGTAAAGAACATTAAACAAGACAGGAATCCGACTTAAATGCTGGTGGGTTGAACTTACCCTTGCCAGAGAAGTTCATCATTAGCAAGGTCTTGCCAAACACATGAGGCTAAGCAGAGGTCAGTTGCATTTAGGTAGGACAAGATGGTGAAGCTTAGCTCAGGTGGCAGCATTTCCAGGTTAATGAACCCTTCCTGTTCTTTGGACTTTTTTGCTTTCAGAAGATGATATATATCGATGCCTCCTTGGGCTTGTTTCCGTTGGCTGGACTGAGAAATGTTGCTTGAAGTCCCTCTCCTGCTCTGCTCTCTGCTGAGGTAGCCTGGCTCACTGTAGGCTTCCTGTTGGAGATGCTGGTTTCTGGCCACTCTCCAGAGTCCTTGACCCATCTGCAAGCCTGAGAGAAGGGCAGAAGGTAATGAGGGTGACATGAAAAGTTAAACCATCAAATCTGACAGCACACTTGTTTACCAGAATTATAATTTCTCACTAAAGCCCCGTGAAAGCTGTAGGGTATTATAAAAAAGAGTTGGGGTGTTGGGGTGAAACATTTGGGAGAGAAGTTTAACTACCTGGTCTGCTCATTGTCTCTCTCAGCTTGCTTGCTAAAAATTTTTAAGATCCACAGGTGACATAATCATTTTTTCATGTGGTAGGAGTTAAGTTGCTGATGTCCTGAAGACACTTCATAATGATATTTATGTGAACTTGTGGGCCAGCATTAAAGCCAGCTCTGAGCAGAGCACAGGGCTTCAGTTAAACGGCCTCCAGACACTGCTTTTTTATCACAACTCAGGCTCAGCTAAGCTAGACCCTTTTAACCAGACTCCCAGATGCACACCAGCTGTGATGCAGGCTTTCCGTTTAATTCCTGCCAGTCTACACTTAGGCTGGAGCCTGTAATAAACTGTAACATAGGCCCTGAAGTCTAATTCCAAAACCTTATAAATTAGACACCTAGAACTCAGGGATAAATTTCTCAGCAATAACCAACTACTTGGTTTCACTGGTGCCTACAAATGAAGTTGTAAATTAGAATAACTTTCAGTTCTTCTCCAAACAGTCCTGTGGATTTGTCCAAGGCAGCTGGGAAAAGGTGTAAGGTGTGTTCCAGTCTCCCCCACCACGTCACCTGGACTCACCAGACACAGGTATTTAGAAAATGACAGGCTTAAACTTATTTGACACTGCTTTCAAAACAAGCAGATTTTCCTGAGAAAATAAGCTTACTATGAAAAACTACACCAGAAAGAGCACTGAATACAAATAATTACTTTCACGAATCCCTTCTCCAAAAAAAAATCTTGTCTCATTACTCATTCAAAAACTGTAGAAAAAGGATACAGATTTTCACATAAGTCAGTAAAATAACTTTCATGGTATGATCTGAACCTCAGATGAACACAAAAATACAAAATAACCCATTAGACACACAAAACAAGCCACTAGTTAGCAAAATGGAAACGTCCTAGAAATAACTTCAGTTTCCAGAAGAATTTCAAGAATACTGAGAGTAGTATTTTCTTACTTAAAAGAAGTCACATGAATATTTACTAAGTATTTGGCTATTATTGGGACAAAGCTACTATATGAGGTTACTTATGGATCAAAATAGAAAAAAAAATGGTTCAGGGCGAGTTTAATTCTTATCCCTTCCTTACCTTGATGTCTTTGGGAGTCCACCTATAAAGGGTGCATACATATGCATATAATATACACACACACATATACGTTCCACCTTTTTGTGTTTGCGTGTGTGTGTGATGGTCACAAAGAGAAGGAATATACTAATGATTTTCAAATGTGGGAAATTTTGTTTTTGTACATAAAGAATAAACCTTTCCTGTCCTAAAACACAAAACTAAATAATATTATTAAGTTGGAGGCCTCATCCTAGGCCCTGGCATCCATCTTTGGAAGCCCCCTTTCCTGAGAGTTGCCTCAGTCCAAACTCCATCTCCCCAGGGAGGGTCAAGACCACTCCCACAGGCTATTTAGACTGCCCCCCCAGAAAAAAAAGACATGGTCTTCCCTCTTCCTTCCTGATGGTCGTGTAGGCTTGTTGTCCCCCCCCCACTTCGTTTTTCCCAAGGCCACCCGAGAGCACAGACATCCAATAAAACCTAGATATCTTTTAATTTGTCTGATTTGGGCTGATTGGATTGGGATTATTTTCCAATGGTAAGAAGTATTCCTAAAATTTATCAGTTTAGCTAGACTCAAATTTTAAAAATTAAATTCATGGGACTGAAGAGATGACTCAGTGGTTAATAGCACTGAATGTTCTCCTAGAGGACTGAAGTTCAATACCCAACAGCCACAAGTGAGTTCATAATAATCTGTTACTCCAGTCCCAGGGGTTCTCCAACGCCCTCTTCTAGTTTCTGCAGGCACTACACATAGAGTGCACGCACATACATTCAAAGAAACACTAAGACACACAAAATCAAAATATTAAGACAAACCACAATCTCAACTTCATATGGAAAAACAAAAAACTCAGGATAGTCAAAACAATGCTGTACAATAAAGGAACTTTCAGAGGCATCACCATCTTTGACTTCAAACTCTACTATAGAGCTATAGTAACATAATAAAAGCAGCTTGATATTCACACAAAAACAGACAGGTGGACCAAAGGTATCAAATAGAAGACTATGATATAAACTCACACACCTATGAACACCTGATTATTGACAAAGCAGCTACAACTATAAAGTAAAAAAAAAAAAGAAAGCATCTTTAACAAATGGTTCTGGAATAACTGGATATGAATATGTTGAAAATGTAAATAGATCCTTATCTATCCCCATGCACAAAACTCAAATCTAAATGAATCAAAGACCTCAAAATAAAACTAACCACACTGAACCTCATGGAAAAGAACGTGGGAAGTAGCCTTAAATGCATGGGCACAGGAGACCACTTCCTAAATATAACCCCAGTAGCACAGACACTGAGAGCAACAATAAATAAATATGACCTCCTGAAACTGAGAAGCTTCGGTAAAGCAAAGGACATGGTCAATAAGACAAAATGGCAGCCTACAGAATGGGAATAGATCTTCACCAACCCCACATCTGACAGAGGACTGATCTCTAAGTTATACAAAGAACTAAAGAAACTAGACATCAAAAGACCAAATAATCCAATAAAAAATGGGGTACAGATCTAAACAGAGAACTCTCAACAGAGGAATATCAAATGGCTGAAAGATACTTAAGGAGATGCTCAATATCCTTAGCCATTAGGGAAATGCAAATCAAAACAACTCTGAGATTCTATCTTACACTTGTGAGAATGGCCAAGATAAAAACTCTGATGACAACTTATACTGGAGAGGATGTGGATCAGGGGGAACACTACTCCATTCCTGGTGGGAGTGCAATCTTATACAGCTACTTCGGAAATCAGTATGGCGGTTTCTCAGAAAGTTAGGAATCAATCTACCTCAAGACCCAGAAATATCACTCTTAGGCATATACCCAAAGGATGCACACTCACATCACAAGGGCATTTGCTCCCCTATGTTCATATCAGCATTATTCATAATAGCCAGAACCTGAAAACAACGCAGAGGCCCCTCAACTGAAGAATGCATAAGGAAAATGTAGTAATTTACACAATGGAGTACTACTCAGCAGGAAAAAAAAACAGTGACATCTTGAAATTTGAAAGCAATGGATGGAACTAGAAAAAAAACCATCCTGAGTGAGGTAACCCAGATCCAGAAAGACAAATATAATATGTACTCACTTATTAGTAGATGATAGACATAAAGCAAAGAACAATCAGGGTACCGGCTACAACCCCAGAGAACCAAGGAAGGGGAAAAAAGACAAGATCTCCTGAGTAAATGGGGAGCTTGAGTAGGAGGAAAGGTGGAAGGAAAGGGAAGAGAGTGGAAAGGGAGTGGGGAAAAACGTATAGCACATTCCTATGCAAACAATTAAAATAAGAAGGATGTGTGTGTGTGAGAGAGAGAGAGAGAGAGAGAGAGAGAGAGAGAGAGAGAGAGAGAGAGAGAGAGGGGGGCAATCGTTCAGCTGCTAAGAGCACTCATTGACAGCTCTTGCACAGACCCTGAATGTGGATTCCAGTACCCATTTACAACTGCCTAGTCCAGTCTCTTCCCAGCATGAGCACCACATTTTCCTTCATAGGCACTAACGCTTGTTAGGAAATGAGAAAGTGGGCACACTTGGAAGATAGTTCGGTAGTTTTTTGCAAAATTAAAATACTTTACATCTATAATCAAGACTCATATTTCTTGTTATTTACTTTCTCAAAACCAGAATAAATTTAATTTAAATCACCTAATTTTTATATATACTTGTTTCTACTAAAATAGTAAGATAAATATTAGAAGTAACAGTTTAATTGCACAAAACCAAATATTTAATAGAAAACCCAATTTAAAAAATCTAGACATTAAGTACTAAAGTATTGGGTTTTATTGTGTTGAAACTGGAAACTGTGAAGTATATAATGCCTGCTTCAGAGAAATGAACAAAGTGTTTTTGGCACTAGTCCTGTGAAGGAGAAGTTTATAGCTCTAATTATTTCATAGTTTGCTGTCTTTTAAGCCTCCATGTCACAGTGTGGGAGAAACTAAAAATCTGCCATGATATAAGCCAAGACAATTCATACAGAAACATCTTTTTTTGTTAATGTGAATTACATTATCTTTTTTCTATTCAGTTTTTCATAGGGCACATTTTGATAATATTTTCCCCTCCCTCCAGATCCTCTCATATCCTCCCCAACTTTCTTCTCAACCAGTCTCTTACATTATTTCTTTCTCTTTTTTGTTTCTTTTTCTAAAAAAGAAAACAAACTATATTTTTTCATTTTACATACCAATCCCAGTTCTCACCCCATTCCCTCCACCTTTCCTCCCTACCCCTCCATCTCACTCCTCAGAGAGGGTAAGGCACATTGCTTTGGGGAAGGTCCAAGGCCCTCCCTACTATATCTAGGCTGAGCAAGGTATCCCTCCAAAGAGAATAGGTTCCCAAAAAGTCAGTAGATGCAGTAAAAATAAATCCTGGTGCCATTGCCAGTGGCCCTCCCTACTACATCTAGGCTGAGCAAGGTATACATTCAAAGAGAATAGGATCCCAAAAAGCCAGTACATGCAGTAGACATAAATCCCAGTGCCACTGTCAGTGACCCCTCAGTCTGTCCCAGCCATACAACTGTCACCCACATCCAGAGGGTCTAGTTTGGTCCTATGCTTGTTCCTTCCCAGTCTGGATGGAGTTGGTGAGCTCCCATTAGGTCAGGTAACCTGTTTAAATGGGTGTCCCCACCATTGTCTTGACCTCTTTGCTCATATTCTCACTCCTCCCACTCTTTAACTGGACTTCAGGAGCTCAGCTCAGTGCTCTGCTGCAG